GTTGAAAGTTTATCATGAAAGAGTTTGGATTTTCTCATGTTTCTTGTGCATCAGTTGAGATGATCACATGAGAATTTTTCCCTTTATTCTGTTAATGTGTGATATATTACATTGACTGATTATAATATGTTGAAACGTCTTTGTGTTTCAGAAATAAATCCCAGTTGGTCACGTTATATATATATATATTTTCCCCCCTCTCTGGTGTATATTCTTTTTAATGTGCTATTGAATTTCATTTGTTAGTATTTTGTTGAGCATTTTTACATCAATATTCATCAGAGATATTGTTCTGTAGTTTTCTTATATCTCTGTCTTGTTTTGGTGTCAGAGTTATGCTGGACTCATACAATGAGTTTGGGAATATTCTCTCCTCTTCAAATTTTTGGAAAAGTTTGAGGAGGATTGGTGCTATTTTTTCTTTAAATATTTGGCAGAATTATTCTGCAAAGCCTTTTGGGCCTCTTTTTTTTTAAGATTTATTAATTTATTTGACAGAGAGAGAGAGAGCGTGAGCGAGCACATGCACAAGCAGGGGGAGCAGCAGGCAGAGGGAGAAGCAGGCGTCCTGCTGAACAGAGAGGTGGATGTGGGACTCAGTCCCAGGACCTGAGATCATGACCCGAGCCAAAGGCAGACTCTTTTTTTTTTTTTTAAGATTTTATTTATTTATTTGACAGAGAGAGAGAGATCATAAGTAGGCAGAGAGGCAAGCAGAGAGGGGGAAGCAGGCTCCCTGCTGAGCAGAGAGCCCGATGCGGGCCTCTATCCCAGGACCCTGGGATCATGATCTGAGCCAAAGGCAGAGGCTTAACCCACTGAGCCACCCAGACACCCTAAAGGCAGACTCTTAACTGACAGAGTTACCCAGGTGCCCCAGTTGGGAGTTTTTTGATTATGGATTCAAGCCCCTTACTGTTATAGATCTGTTTAGATTTTTTCATTTCTTCTTGATTCAGTCTTGGTAGTTTGTATGTTTGTAGGAATTTACCCATTTCTTCTAGGTTATCCAGTTTGTTGTTGTATGATTATTCATAGAAGTCTCTGTGATCAGGGTGCCTGTGTGTCTCAGTCAGTTAAGCATCCGACTCTTGATTTTAGCTCAAGTCATGAGCATCAGGCTCCTACTTGAGATTTTGTCTCTCCCTCTGCCCCTCCACCCTTGCTCATACTCTCTCTCCCCCCCCCAAAAAAAAATCTCTTGTGATCCTTTTTATTTCTGTGGCATAAGTCTCTCATATCTGATTTTTGAGTCTTCTCTATTTTTTTTCTTAATTTAGCTAAGGGTTTGTCACCTTTGCTGATTTTTTCAAAACATCAACTCTTAGTTTCATTGATTTTTAATACTGTTTTTCTATTTTCTATTCCAATGATCTCTGCTCTAATCTTTCTTTCTTTCCTCTTGTTAACTTGGGGTTTAGTTTGTTCCTTTTTTTCTATTTCCTGGAGGTGTAAAGGTAAGTTGTTGATTAGAGACCTTTTTTGAATTAGACCTTATTCCCATAAGCCTTCTTAGTATTGCTTTTGTTTCATTCCATTAATTTTTGATGTATTTTGTTTTCATTTTCATTTGTCTCAAGATATCTTCTAATTTCCTTTGTGATTTCTTCTTTGGCATATTGGCTGTTCAGGAGTGTACTGTTTAATTTCCACGTAATGGGAATTTTCCAGTTTTCCTTTTGCTGTTGATTTCTGGTTTCATTCCATTGTGATCAGAAAAGGTATTTGGTATGATTTCAACCTTCTTAAACTAGTTAAAAATTTGTTTTGTGGCCTACTATATAATCTGTCTTGGAAGATGTTTTCATATGTGCTTGAGAAGAATGTGTATTCTGCTGTTGTTGGTTGGAGTATTTCTTATATGTCTTTTAGGTGCAATTAATCTACAGTGTTCAAATCCTCTTTCCTTATTGATCTTCTATGTGGTTTTCCTATCCATTATTGAAAGTGGTCTATTAAAATCTCTTATTATTATTGGGCTTCTGTGTATTTCTTCCTCTAATTTTACCAACACTTGCTTCATATATTTGAGTGCTGTGGTGTTTGGTACAAATATTTATACTTGTTATAACATCCTGTCGAATTGACCTTTTTATCTTTATATAATATCCTTCTTTATCACCTGTGACAATTTTGATTTAAGGTCTATTTTTTCTTATGTAACTGTGGTTGAGGTTATACCTACTCCCTTTTGGTTATAATTAGCACAGAATATCTTTTTATATTCTATATCTTTTTATATCTATATCTATATCTTTTTATATTTATATCTAATTATAACCTACTCCCTTTTGGTTATAATTAGCACAGAATATCCATCCTTTCACTTTCTGCCTGTGTGTATCATTATATCTAAAGACAACATACAGTTGGGTCTTATTTTTTTATCTGTTCAGGTGCTCTATGTCTTTTGGGGAGTTTAGTCCATTTACATTTAATGTAATCACTGGGGCACCTGGCTGGCTCTGTTGGTAGAGAGCGTGACTCTTGAGCTCAGGGTTGTAAGTTTCAGCCCCACATTGGGTATAGAGATTATTTAAAATAAAATCTAAAAAAAAATCACGGATAGGAAAGGACTTACTATTGCCATTTTGTTAATTGTTTTCTGTGTGTGTCAACATTTATTCTGTTCCTCTTTTCCTCTCTTCTAGGCTTTCTTGGTGTTTTATTGATTTTTTTATTGTGATAGGCTTTCTATTGTTCTTTTGTGTATGTTCTATAGGTATTTTCTTTGTGTTTACTATGGAGATTATGTAAAACACTTTATAGTTACAACAGTCTATTTTAAACTGATAAAAACTTAACTTCAATAGCGTATAACAACTCTACTCCTTTATGTCTCTTCCACTTTGTTATTGATGTTACAAATTACATCTTTTTATATTTTGTATCCATTAATGTACTTTATAGTTATAATGATTTTTATGCCTTTATGTTTTAAATACTATACTAGAACTAAAGGAGATCTATGCAATACCATAATCAATTCAATTCAATTAATGTGTTTTTCAGCCTTGGAATTTCGGTTTGGTTCTTCTGTGTAGTTTGTTTCTGTGTTGATATTCTCATTTTGATCATGTTTCTTTTTCTGATTTTTAAAAAAATTTTTTAAGAAGATTTTATTTATTTATTTGACAGAGACCACAAGTAGGCAGAGAGAGAGAGAGAGGAGGAAGCAGGTTCTCTGCTGAGCAGAGAGCCTGACGTGGGACTTGATCCCAGGACCCTGAGATCATGACCTGAGCTGAAGGCAGAGGCTTAACCACTGAGCCACACAGGCGACCCTCTTTTTCTGATTTTATTTAGTTTTCTATGTTTCTTGTATCTCACTGAACTTCCTTAAGATGAGTATTTTGAATTTTTTGTCAAATAATTCATAGATACTTATGTATTTATGATTGGTTTCCAAGAATTATTTTGGAAATATGATTGGGTCATATTCCTGTTTCTCTGTATGCCTTGTTACTTTTGTTGAGATTTATACATTTGAAAAAGCAACATCCTTTCCCAGTCTTTATGGACTAGTTTTCTACAGAGGAAGATCTTTATCAGTTAGCCTCACTAGAGATTGAGGGGAACTTCTCAAATCTTTTTGGGGAATGCATATTCTCTGGGCTTGTTCAAGTAATTTCCCAGAGTGATATGTTGGCTTTTTTTTTCCTGAACTTGGAATCTCTTGTTCCTTCTGGTCTGTGGTACTACAGGTTCTCTGGTTCTCCAGCAGGCTACAGAGCTCTCATTTGCTTTCATTGGCCACTTTCAGCTTTTTGGGTCAGATGACACAGAAATGATTCCCTTGGGAAGCCCGTGAAAAGCCAGAACCTTGGATGTACATATCATTCTTGTCTTTTGCTCTAGAAGGACAAACTGCAAATTGGGTATTTTCTGCCAGCTGCTCTGAGCTTCGCTGGCTTGGGTAAGGGGCTAATGTGGGTGAAATGCAGTGGCTTTTCTTACACATATTCATGGAGCTTTTCTTGGTTTTGTACTTGCTAGGGTATGACAACTTTTTAACTGGTTTCTGGGCTCTCATAAAAGCCTTTTGGATTGTATATTGTTACATTATTGTCTCCGTGGGGAAACAAGGCCTGAGGCTTTGTATTCTGTTATCTTTCGCCAGGAGGAATCCCTCATGCTCTTTATTTTTTATTTAATTTTTATGTAGTTTTAATTTTAATTCCAATTAGTTAAAATATAGTGTTATATTAGTTACAGTTGTACAGTATAGTGATTCAACAGTTCCATGTATCACCCAGTACTCATCATGACAAGTGCCCTCCTTAATCCCTATCACCTATTTCACCTACCCAGCCTACCCCTTTCTGGTACCATCAATTTATTTTCTATAGTTGAATATGTTTCTTGGGTCTTCTTTTTGTGTCTCTCTTTTTCCCTTTGCTCATTTGTTTTGTTTCTTCATTTCCATATATGAGTGAAATCATATGCTATTTGTCTTCCTCTGACTGTTTTGCTTAGCATAATACTCTCTAGCACTGTCCATGTTATTGAAAATGGCAAGATTTCATTCTTTTTTTTTTTTAAAGATTTTATTTATGTATTTGACAGACAGAGATCACAAGTAGGCAGAGAGGCAGGCAGAGAGAGGAGGAAGCAGGCTCCCCGCTGAGCAGAGAGCCTGATGCGGGGCTTGATCCCAGGACCCTGAGATCATGACCTGAGCTGAAGGCAGAGGCTTTAATCCACTGAGCCACCCAGGCACCCCTCATTCTTTTTTTTTTTTAATTTCTTTATTTTAGTGAGAGAGCACAAACGGAAGGGGCAGAGGGAGAGGGAGAGAGAATCTGAACCAGACTCTGCACTGAGCATGAGCCCAAGAAGCTCCATCTCATGACCATGAGATCACGATCTGAGCCAAAACCAAGAGTCAGATGCTTAATCAACTGTGCCACCCCGGCACCCCAAGATTTCATTTTTAATGGCTGAATAATATTCCATTGTATATACATATATATACACATTTTTCCCTCTTTTTGTTTTAGATTTTATTTATTTAACAGAGAGAGACTAAGAGTGTGCAGCAGGGGGAGAAGGAGAAGCTCCCTGCTGAGCAAGGAGCCGGATGCAGGACTTTATCCCAGGACCCTGGGATCATGACCTGAGCTGAGGATGGACGCTTAACCAACTGAGCCACCCAGGTGCCCTTTCCCTCATGTTTTTTTTTATACTTGCTTAGTACTCTAGGATGTAGATGTACTGGTCATTCAACCAGTACCCTATGGTTAGACATTTGTCTTATTTCTTATCTTTTACTATTGTGATTGTTTTGCTAGTAATGGCCTTGTACTTATGTTTTTTTGTCTTTTTGCATTATATCTTTGGGATAGAGTCTTAGAAGTAAAAGTGCTGGTTCCAAGAGGAAATATTCTAGTAATTTTACTAGATAGTATCAAATCCCCTTAATATGAATTGTAATATTTTACATGGTTGTTGGCCTTTATTTCTTCAAATACTTTTTATCCATACACCCTTTCTCCTTTCTTTCTAAGATAACCAACCATGTCACTAATTTCAGATTTTTTATATAATCTCACAAGTCCCCGAGTTGTCATTGTCTTTTTTCTTTAGTCTATTTTCTCTCCATTGCTCAAATTGGGTACTTCTTATTGTTGTGTATTCAAGTTCATTGATTCTTTTCATTTTCTTCTTCATTCAGTTGTTGAGTCCATATACTGAGTTTTAAAATTTTCAGTTATTGTGTTTCAGGTCTAAAATATTTATATTGTTCTTCCATATATCTTCTGTTTCTTTCCTGAGAATTTCTGTTCCTTAATTTATTTCAAGTATAATTATAATTACTCTTTGAAACATTCTGAAAATGACTACTTTAAAATCCTTATCAGATAAGTCCAACATCTGTGGCATCTTGTTGTTTTTATATGTTGACTGTCATTTCTCATTCAAGTTGAAATTTTTATGGTTTTTGAAGTAATGGGGTATTTTTAAATTTTCTTTATGTTATATGTAGGATTTGGTAGCATTTCTTTTTTTTTAAGATTTTATTTATTTATTTGACAGGCAGAGATCACAAGTAGGCAGAGAGGCAGGCAGATAGAGAGAGAGGTGGAAGCAGGCTCCCTGCTGAGCAGAGAGCCTGATGTGGGGCTCGATCCCAGGACCCTGGGATCACGACCCGAGCCGAAGGCAGAGGTTTAACCCACTGAGCCACCCACGGTGCCCCTTTGGTAGCGTTTCTTATTCCTGTAAGAAGTTACATGGGGATGATGGGAAAGAGGATGCAGATCATCTTCCCTTTACTTTTTACTTCATCTTCTCATCAAATTTTTATTTGATCTTTAACTTTTGAATCTTTTTTTTTAATTGTTTGTTTTGACATTGAAATAGCTGGCCCCACTAATTTCCAGAAAGGAAACAGTACAGAATAACAGAGTATGAAGATTGGTCAGCTCTGCAGCTGACTGGGAACAGGAGACCTACATCCAAAATATCAGAAAAATTCTTGCCTACAGGACTATGGGTAGTCACCTCCTCTTTGCTGACCTCAGCCCTGACACAGAAAAAGATTATCTATCTCAGTGGATAGGGACATGGGCTCTGTGGAGTGTGATTTAAGTTTGGGCATGTTTAATTGCTGGTTTCATGATCTTCATAAAGCAAATTATAAGTCTTCAGATCTATGAAACCCACATGTGTTGTATATACATTATATATGCATGCATAGTGAATATAATGGGAGGAAATGAACATATGTGACAATATCTTTTTTTTTAAAGATTTTATTTATTTGTCAGAGAGAGAGGGAGAGAGAGCAAGCACAGGCAGACAGAATGGCAGGCAGAGGCAGAGGGAGAAGCAGGCTCCCTGCCGAGCAAGGAGCCCGATGTGGGACTTGATCCCAGGATGCTGGGATCATGACCTGAGCCGAAGGCAGCTGCTTAACCAACTGAGCCACCCAGGCGTCCCCATGACAATATCTTTTTTTAGAGAGGGAGGAGGAGAGAGAGAGGGTAGGGGAAGGGTCAGAGCAGGCTCCATGTGCAGCATGGAGCCCAATGTGGGGCTTGGTCTCAACACCGAGATCTGACCTCAACCAAAATCAAGAGTCAGACGCTTAACCCACTGAGTCACCTAGGCACCTCTGACAGTATTTTTTTTGTATTAATAGGTGGTTGGTTTGCTGACTAATTATGTATCACTGGAATTAACCGTGCTTTCCGAAATTTTCAAATTAATGTGTATCGTTGCTTACAGCATATATAAACTCATTTTATGGTGATTGTTATGGTATTTCACACATACAAAAAGTTACAGAAATCATATAATGAAAAAATAAAAGAAATCATATAATGGAGTTTGGTACTCATATTAATAAATAAAACATTACATATCTCATTTGAATTCTTTTCTGATGGCATTAGTCTCCCTCTAACCCAGGCATAACTACTAACAAAACATTGGATTTTTCATTCTTAATACATTTCTCTGTAGTTTTATTACATATGTATATATTCTTTACAAAAAATATGGTATTATTTTGTTGCATATGTTTACCCATAGATGCTTGGTTATCTCACAGAAATTAAACAGGAAGAAATATGAGAAAACCAAATCCATATTCACATTTTAACAGTGTGACCTGCCCTATCAGCCTCCTTGCTATATGTGTTTTCTTTCTAATCTTTTAAAATGGACACACCCATTTTCTCAGTTTATATGTTATAAGGAGCATGAATAGATTTTGAACATACTATTCTCAGTAAATTTTTCGTGTGTGATGTTCAAAGTCTTAGAGTTTGTTAGGTCCTGGCTACTGTGAAACAGTACCTGAATGTGTCCTAACTGCAGAACATCTTCTTGTTTATCCAGGCTTAATTTTCTGGCTTTAATCCACTCTGTTACTCATCTAGGCTTGTAGATCTGGAATCTAATCTGGACCACTCTGGTGAAAGAAGACAGTGATTGTAAGGAGTTTGTTTTCCTGTGTACAGACTAATGACCAAATCCTTGGGTTGGTTTAGGGAGGCATCCCATTCTGAACTTGAGCTGATTTCAATTACAAGTGCTGGGCACCTGTATATTTTCCTTTCCTTTTACTATTTTAATGCTTGGCTAACCAGGAGGTTAAACCCATGAGCCTGCTTTCCATTCAGGGAGGCTTTATTTGGGAGATAAGAGAAGCGTGTTGTGAAAATACTTTTGTCTCATGACCTTTGCTAAATCCTGGGAGGTAGAAACATTGTCTGTCTGTAGAATGCAAGGTTTATATGAGCAACATGCTTGCTCTTCCCTTAGGCATCTGTAATTTTCCCAAAGACACCCAATTGGAACAGTCATGTGGTAGATTACTAAATCAGTTCTATGACCATCCTATTACCTAATTCCCTTGGGTTAGTGATAATACGCATTCTGATCCTGAACCACTTTCTTATGGGAAGGGCTGAGGATATATATTTCTTTTACTTCCAAAATCAAGACTTTTTTATTTTTTATTATTATTATTTTTTAAAGATTTTATTTATTCACTTGACAGACAGAGATCACAAGTAGGCAGAGAGAGAGGAAGAGAAGCAGGCCTCCCGCTGAGCCCAGATCCCGATGCGGGGCTCGATCCCTAGACCCTGGGATCATGATCTGAGCCAGATGCAGAGGCTTTAACCCACTGAGCCACCCAGGCGCCCCCAAAATCAAGACATTTTTAAAAGAAGATTTATTTATTTATTTTAGAGAGAGGGAGAGCGTGATTGGGGGGCAGGGCAGAGGGAGAGGGAGCGAGAGAGAGATAGAGAGAGATAGAGAGAGAGACAGACTCCTTGATGAGCGTGGAGCCTGACCCAGTGCTTGATTTCACAAACCTGAGCTGAAATCAACAGTCGGATGCTTAACCAACTAAGCTACCCAGGTGCCCCTCAAGTCATTTTTGTTGTAGATAAAAATGCAAAATGCAGGAGATGAAAAGATTGTTAAGAACCCTTAGAAGTCTACTATTCATGAGTAACCACTGTTATCATTTGAATATATGTTTTTTCAGAAATTTTATATGTCACTGTATATTTAAGAACAAAAATGAAATTATATCCTACTTAACAGTTTTGTAAACTGCTTTTTTACAACAAATATGTTATAAAGATCAATCCATGCCTATCAGTGTACACCCATATAGTAATAAAAATGATAGTAGAATCTCTAATGCATTCTGTTGTGATAATAATAATAAGAAAGGTTAATATTTCTGACTTCCTCAGTTCCCCACTCTGGTGTCAGTGCTAAGCTTTCGCTTATTTCAACCTCACCACAGCCTATGAAAAGGAGCTATTGTTGCCAGACTTTAAAATCAGGGAACCGAGGCACAGCGAGGACAGGGCTAGTAAGTCATTAGGCTTATATTAGAACACAGGCTTGTGGCTCCTGCATCACTTCATCTAACCAGTGTATGATACTGCCTCTCATATGGTAAGACTGCCAACCTTACTTTTAATCAGGGTGAAGAAAAATGAAACAAATTAGGGTACCATGTTTTTCCTCAGTTAACTAAGCAGAGATCTGAAGTATTGATAATAATTATTGTAGTTTGGAATTTGGGGAGCTGTGTGCTGTTTTACTGTAGAAGGGGCTCCCGCAGTATCTTCTTTCCTGTCCTGTGCCTTTGGGATGTCCCTGTTCTAAAGCTGACGGCTTTTCTGTAGTTGGGCTGAGACCGCTTAAATTTTACTGTTGTTTCATTGTTTTGTGTAATTGTAAGAGTATTTATTACAAGGCATTTAATATAGTAAAAATTAGATAGCAGAAAAAAATACTAACAATTAACATAAAAAGAGAATAATTTTACCCTCAAACATAAGCACCAGAAGAAAAGTCCTGCTAAGGTTTTCATCTGCATTATATCCTTTCAGAAATTTTCTTATGCTGGTACTTATACATTTATGCACATATGCATTTATTTAGTTCTGTAACCTGCTCATCTTTTTTAAAGATTTTATTTATTTATTTGACAGAGAGAGCATGTGCACTAGCGGGGGAACGGCAGGCAGAGGGAGAAGGAGAAGCAGGCTCTGCACTAA